GCCGTTTGAGCAGTAGCTAATTTTATAAATATAAATATGTATATGCATATATATACAAATAACCAAAGCTGTGTTCATAGTTAAAAAAAATTATATATATTATAAAAATATATTTATTTAGATTAAATATTTTAAGATAACAATTTAAAAACTTTTGTTAAAACTAAGTTTCTTTTATTTCATAAAAATAATCTTATTTACACATTAGGGCGTACTTTAGTAACAAATTCTTCACATTGGCACACATAATTTGATATATACTTTTATATATATATTAACATATACATATATGTATATGCTGACTCTTTCCTCTCACTTAGTCAGCCGATTCCAGGCGCTGTCGTAGCGTTCCGCTGCGAAAAAGTTGCTCAGGGTTTGTGGCAGTTGCTTGCGTTGCGCCTCGTTCCCTTGTATGCGTGGAGGTGTATAAGTGGGCGTGGCTGCTGCTGCAGCTGCTGCTGCGACTCCAGTCGCTGCTGCTCCTGCTGCTGCAGCAGTTGAGCTGCTCTTAATGCACTCCACTGGCGCCTCCTGCGCCTGACCCGTGACCTGAGTGCGCCACTCGTAGGTGAGAGGAGGCGCCTTGGCTACTGGCTGCCTCAGCTGAATTGTGGCACGGCTGACGTACAGCTTTGGAATTGCTGATGTTGCTGATGCGGTTGCTGCTGCCATCTGAGCGACTCGAGCTTCAATTTGGAACTGTTTTGGCGAATTGCGAATGCGCCTTTTGTTCTCCAGTTAGCGAGAGTCAACGCATGACGCATAGCTTGAATGTGTAATATCTCTCTTTGTCTCTCTCGCTCTCTCTCTCAATCTTTATCTGTCGCTGTGTCTGTGTGTGGGTGTGCACTGTTTGCTCTAGAAGATTTCTGAGCTGATGATCAATTCGATTGCATGCAGTTAGGCAAATTGAGATTGTGGCATTTCGGCACTTGAAACTGGTTTCCAGCAATTGTCCGCCAATTCATGGCAGACAGAGAGGTAGACAGAGAATCCGGCACGCGCCCACATGCCGCCAAATGTGAGCTAACAAAAGGAGAACAAAAGCAATTAACAGCAAAATAAACAAGTTCCAAATAAACAAGCATCAGAAGTTTTTGCTAAATTTGTTGCTCAACTCGAGACGTTCAGGCACTTCGAAGTTGCAAATATTCGAAACACACTCAAAGCGGGTATTCTGATTTTTCGTAAGAGCTACGTAACGCCCAGATATATATTAATTTCAGCTTACATTTACTTACCTTACCTTATACAAAAATATATAAGACAACTCTGTTTTGGTAGATCTGGAATGATCTATATATTTTTTTGAATACTATGATATTTTTTGTATATCAGATTTTGATTATTCATTGTATACATATTTATTCAATAGATAAACATTCCCCGTTTGTTTTGTCAACACCTATAATTTGTGTAATTACTTGTTAATTATAATTATCGCAATCTTAAGTATTTAGGAAAATGAAAGATTCATCCACTGTTCCCTATTACTCATTGTTTAACTCTCTTCGCACAGTCTCTGATAAACGATTTGTTTAGTGTTTTATCAACGATTCTATTTATAGGCGCTTCCTGCTCGCTCTCTCTACAGTCTCTATAGAGCGATGTATGTATTACAAAACGTATCATCTTATTCTCAAATGATAAGCTCAGTGAATCTTTCAATAGGCTTCTAATTTTGCTTTAGTTCCTTAATTCAAAAAGTTTGATGGTAAAGAAAAAGTAATAATTAGTCTAAATATAGCTTATATAAAAATACGAATTCCTAAATAAAATATTTTTAATCATATATCAAAATCAAATTTGATAGTTATAGAACCAAATTGAATGATAAAGATGTACGATACAGTCTCCAGTCTTACGCTGAAATATTCAACTTATCGTTCATTTTTTAATATTTACTATTGACGGCTTTCATATTTACTTCCTCGCTTTCTAGAAATATACATATCACATCATATTTCCTCTATAGTCTATATTATAAATTTGTATATCTATTTAAAGATATTAATTAAAGTTATATATATAGTGGAACTTGCCTTCGAGCTCCTGAGCCTAGGTCTACCGTCACTTCGATCACTTCCCTATTATCTTGCCAGTCTTCCGTCAGTCAGCCTAGCTTTACACTTAGTCATAAATGTAATCGTATTTGCATATTATGAACACATAATTTCTCGATGATCTGGTTTGATATTCAAAGCGTTGTCCCCCGTAGCTAACTGTAGTCGAGTCGATTTCACGCCCACATCCAAACAAAATACAAATTATCTTACCTGTGGAGTAAAAACAAGTAAGCATGCGCAACTCTGTTCTTTGATGGACTACCAAATACCCTAGAAGTGATCTAAGTCGAGCATAATTATCGGATTTGATGATTAATAACTTTAAAACCTGTTGATATAGTTTTTCCAATCCCAATTTTCAATATATATGTAAAAAGGCGATTAGCGAGAATTTCGTTGAGTAAAGTCCCGTTAAAGCTAATAGTCGAACGGTAACAGACCCATGCGAATCATACAGATCTACAGCAAATGCTGCAATCGTCATTCATTAAGCATTTGGCAGGTGATTCATTTGAAGCATTGAATAATAGCGCACGTTCCTCAGTTGAGTGTTATTTGAAACTGATTTGGGGGCGGGTCGGGAATGAGGCGATGGCTGCCTGCAACACCTTCTGAAAGCTGGGTTAACCACTGTGCACTTGTGTGTGTGAGTGTGGGTGGGTGGGTTGGTTGGTTGGGTGTGTACACCCCGTTAGCTGCATGCAAATCACAGTGAGTCCGACTCTCAGCAGAAACCGAGAAACCGGTTTTATATCTAGCACGACTCGAGCTCTTGGTTGACCGAGGCCCAACTGCCACAGTGAGTCAACAATGAGGTGACGAGCCGACTCAATTTTAAACCAAGAACAAAGTATAAATACGATGAAACAATGCCACCACATAATCGACCCTCGCTTTGATAAGCGAATTACTCTTATTCAAATAAGAATAATAAAACTTCAGGCGGTATTATGAAAAAGCGAGAGTTTTTTGTTTTGTTTTTTGTGTTGTGCAGTCCAAGTGACAAACCAGGCAAAGAACAATGACTTAGACGATAGCCAACTATTTATATAGACCGATCGATACCCTGCAATCAGCAAGATAAAGCCACTTTGCATTTAGATAAGGTTAAATTGATATGTTAAAATAATTGAATAGATGAAAATGGAATGGAATATATATTTAATACAATATATAAAATAAATATATACTTACATACGAAATGAATATATGCCATATTATATCTAAACTCTCAATTATTCATGTCAATCCAAGATATTTGTACAGATCTCTAATGAATAGAATCTCAAACAAATCATTTTCCGCACGAGCCCAACTATACTCAGCATATTTAAGGCAATGTATATACATTACATATGCAAGCACCACTTATTATACCCTTTCATCTACAGCTAATAAGTGCTGGGTGTGTGAAATGACATGAATCAGTCAAGAATCAGTTTTTTTTTTTTTTTTTTTGCTCCAGGCGATTAAAAACGCGCCGATTATTTGCTTAGCACACGCGCCAAAACGATTGCTCATACAAAAAAAAAAATAATAAATAAATAAAACTGCAAAAATACCGCAAATTAATGATAAACATTAACATTTGCCATTATCGACTCCAATTGAGAAGTTGCATTTGTTGCTGTTGCAATTGTAGTCGCGATTTGCTAATTGTTGCAAAATGTGCTGCATAATTTTGCGGTTAATTGCCACGGCAAATCGCGCGCTTCTCAAAAGGTGCCGACTACGAAGCGTTTTAGCAACGATTTGCACGCGTTTATCTTCTGTTTTGTTTTGTCATCCAGCAAAAGGTCGTGCTACTTAATTGTGGATGTGTAATTGGGGAATAGTAGTAACCGTAGCTCTACTCACCTGATGCGCAAGGTGCCTAGATATATCTATGTGTAATTGTAATATGGGTATTTATGTTTCTATAATGTTGCGTCTAAGTGTCTTGGGAGCGTTTTTTCTGTGCTTACTAAAGGTCAGACTTCCTCAACAATTTGCAATGACAAATTCGGCACGTTCGCTGAATATTTATTTAGCAAGCTTTCAGGCATTCTAGTTATTCTAAGTTGATTTTTTTAGTTCTTAACTTATTCGTAAAATTGGGTTTGCCGACTTTCTGAAAGTCCATGAATTATTTGTATTATTATTATTTATTTGTATTATTTGTAAACAATAGGCTAAAAAATTAACTGACGACAACTCGTTCTTTCAATGAAATAGCTGTAAAACATCTTAAAATTATTCAATTTTCCTGGTACCTACGCTTCAGAATATTTTCTAATATTTCCTTTTGGCTCCTGGGCCTAATAACAAATATAAAATAGTTGATAGATATTTTAAAACTGTGAGTGATAACGATAGTTATGATATGAACAATAATAATGGGAGTGTAAAAAATCTAATAGGCCCAAATCAGATCTGATGCCATTGATAATTAACGTAGCTGAAAATGCTTGCACTTGCTGTTTACTAAACATCGATAACACCATCCGTATTATTGATGAACATCAATTTTTGCGATAGATCGCTGGATATTATACGATGTTCCGTTAGTGAGCTGAAAAATAGTTTTTGATATTTTTTTGCGTGAGCTAGGTTAACAAAAATAAATTTAATTGTCTCTCGCATTGAAAAACTTGAAAAACTAAAGCCAAAAGTATTCTTCGCGTCGTCGAGTAGAGCCACTATCAGTGGTCTTGCAGCTCGACCTCTGTCTCTGATCTTAAAAGTCAGTCTTGGGGATGCTCGAATTGCAAACATTCCTCTCTCTAAGAGCAAAAGAGCAATGAGAAAGGAACGAATTACTACAGAGTAATAAAAGAGACAATGCCCATGATATGGATAGTGCTCATACCCAATGTAAATTTTAATAATACCAAGATATTAACTAGAGCAACAGGCAATTATTTGTAAATAATTATAACGAATTTCTGTTTGCAGACTCGCTAACCGACAGTTCAAACACCACGAAAACGCCATTATTTCCAAAGGATCTATTCACGAAAGAACAGCTTGAGAACGGCGCTGTCATCCTGCACATTATCGGAGTTATTTACATGTTTGTGGCGCTGGCAATTGTCTGCGATGAATTCTTCGTGCCTTCCCTTGACGTAATCATTGAAAAGCTCGGCATCACGGACGATGTGGCCGGCGCAACGTTTATGGCGGCGGGTGGCAGTGCACCAGAGCTCTTCACGAGTGTCATTGGCGTTTTCGTGTCGTTCGACGATGTTGGCATTGGTACGATTGTGGGATCGGCTGTCTTCAACATCCTGTTTGTCATTGGAATGTGTGCGCTGTTCTCGCGAACGGTCCTCTCGCTGACCTGGTGGCCTCTGTTCCGCGACTGCTCATTCTACAGCATCAGCCTGCTGGTGCTGATCTATTTTTTTCGCGACAATCGCATCTTCTGGTGGGAGGCGCTCATCCTATTTACCATATACATTGCCTATGTGACCTTCATGAAGTGGAACGTGCAGGTGGAGCATTGCGTCAAGAAGATGATTACCAAAAACAAGGTGACTCGCGTCCGAAGTACAGATCAACTTATGCCTGCAGTAAGTAGTTGGGAAGTTTTTTTGCAAAATCAAAAATCAAATGAAAAAATTAAAAAAAAAAGAAAAAAAGAGAATACTCAAAAATTTGTAATCAAAAAAGTCGTTCAAGAGAAAGCGAAATTGCAAAATGTCTGCAAAATCCTTTGCCAGGAATATGAGTTTTTCTTTACTTAAACGCCTTATCGTTTCTCGTTTGAATTCTCGTTTGCTTTGGCCTAGTTACTTTCCATGCATTTCCCACAAGAATGGGGCCAAACAGTCGAACAGGTGTCTGCTAGCCACTATGACTAAGGGCGAACGATCGAGAGACTGCAGTCTTATATATACAGTACATTTGATAACTGCATGACTAACACCTTATTTAGCTTTGGCTTGGCATTGAAATCCACTTGCTGATGCTGATGATGCTGATGCTGATGCTGATCATGATGATGAGTTGACAATAATTGAATTTCACCTTTGAGTTTTAACTCAAAAACAGAATAAATTGAGTGTAAATGGCTATTATTTATTTTCGTGAAACCAGTTCCGGGAACTGAAAGCGATCAATGTCTGTCAGGGTCAACCAGAGAGAAAGAGGCTGAACGAGAGAGAGAGAGGGACAGAGAGACTGCAGGTGAGACGTGAAGAAACTGTTAGCCAATTTCATGACATTACTTAAATATGTAAGTTGGCTCATGCCAAATGACGCATACTAATAAGGAATTTACCAACACTGGTCGACTGTTTGGTCTTACGTTTAGCGTATCTCATTCTGAAAACTATCTAGCCACATATATGCCATTCTATCTCTAATTTAAGCCTATCTATAGCTCTTAACTATTCTTTAGTTTCTTAGTGCTTAGCTTCGTTTAGTATTTTCTCTTATTATTTTGCCTCTTTCCAACACTTTCTCATTTGCTATGCCTCTTACGACTGGTTTAACCATACTGACACATTTATACACCTACACATACACACAAACACACAGCAGCTGTCACACCTACACGCACACACACAGCAAACACTTTGTATGCAGCCAATCGCAACTGTGCACACACACACACACACTCGCACAGCATGAACCTGAAATATGATCTGAACTTGATTCTGGATTCTAGCTTGATTTCTCTCACTCGCTCACGCATGTGCTCAACATTTTTGGACTCTTTATTAGCTGCACATACACATCATAAATCTAAATTTAATCTTTTGATCACACACAAACGAACAGAATGTAAAATGGCTAAACATCAAATGACCTCAACAAAATGGCGCAAGTATTCGCTTAATTTTTCAAGTCTCTGGAATATGTGGGATATATATTTATTTTATTTATTTATTTTTTTTTTCAATATCAATTTACCAAGAGCTTTGAAATGCATATAAATATTCAATAGAAATATCTTTATAATGAATTTTAATTATTCTTCTTAATAATATTAGATAAACAGTTTCAATATATGTAAATTATTTATTTATTTATTTTTTTTTTTTTTTTTATATATAAAATAATATTCAAACGGATTGAGAATCGCCAGCTCTTGACCAGGAATCATTTTATTTGATAATTTGAGCTTGATGGATCATTTGTGTTGGAGGAGGTGGGGGACCGTGAGGTGGCGCCATTTTGAGGGATAGGTAGTTGGAACAGAGTACTGATTCATCAAGGTAATCCAAAGTGTGTTTCGATTTCGGTCCGTTGAGCTCGCTGGCTTGTGGTGGTACCGATGCTTTACGTTTTGAGCTTTTGGAGTATGTAGCTGGCGGTCCATCGACGGTGTCCAGTTCCTTGTAGCATTCGCCCTCTTTGAGCTGCAAGTCCACCTCGGCTCGGATGATGCGATAGAGGACCAGATAGCCCACGATTAGGTATAAGATTTGGTCCGAATGCTTAAAGAAGTAATTGAACGGGTCATCCTTGACATCGATCTTGAACCAGACCAGAAGTAGAGGCACAAACAGCACCCAATAGGCGACTATTGCACACACTTCCACAATTTGCTTGCCAAACATTTTTGCAACGAGCGCCCGAACAACTTGTCCTCAGTTATACGATTGATCCGAGTGTATCGTAACAGCTTCTATATCGTGTATATAGGCAATGTGGGTCGGTCGATACGCATTCGCGATAAATCTACAATAAGGTCTAGCTATGGTCGATGAGTTGAGCAAGATTATTTATTCATGCTGATTACGAACCATCGAGCGAGTTGATTACTATACAAAAATAAATATTTCTTATGATGAACAATTTTATTTCCAGAGCCTCGTATATCCTTTAACTTGAACACTGCATTTTAAATAAGTTCAAACATATTTGAATTATATATTAATAATTCGGATAAAATATAAAATAATACAAGTTTAAACAGGATTGATGCTCTGTTCATAGGGCGGAGGCGGCGTTCTCCCATGACTACCCCCATCGCCACAAGTGTCCCCATTTTCCAGCTCCACTGTTACAGGAGTGTTCATCGGCTCCAGCTCCGTCATTGCCGGAACATTTGTATCGTTATATTGTCGCTCGTGATTGATCATATTCGCTATTGCGGGATTATGAGTGACCCACATTTTCATTGAGTAGGTCTTGAGCTTCAGATAAATGAGCACGATAATTATGTAGACGACCAGATAACAGGCGGCCAGTCCCAGCGCCAGGGCACAAGCATCCTTAATCGATGAAAAGATTTCGTTGTCATCCCATTTGACCCATCCCCACTCAACGCACTGCACTACTATCATGGGCGATAAGACAAACCAGTACAGAACGAAGATGAAGATCTCCACAATTCTTTTCTGTATCATTTTTGGTTTTTCACTTCGATCTTGCTCAGCGTCACCCGTGAGCTGCACTCGGTCCCCTTTAGACAACTAAATGCGTGGAGCCATTTAAATTTCTTTCCTTCAGCTTGAGTAAAATGCGTTTACTCAGTTTATGGTTGATGCCCTCAAAGCAATGACTAATGATTGCTTTCTGCGGCTGCTGGAAATAGCAGAATGTCCAATATGACGAAGACAAACACAGCAACGATTGTGTTATCCAGATTCAATCCATCATAATATATCCAATTCTTTTCCCTAAATATCCAATACATAAAGGGCGTAAAATTAAACCAATAGGCGTGTACCACAAATATTTCCAAGAACGTTTTCTCAAACATCCTTGAAGCTTGCTTAGCAGTTGACCGAGTACTTCGAACTGATTCAATGAAACGAAGCTGCACAGCTCACGCATTTATAAGAGCTATTATTAACTGCGGCTGACTCCACTTTTTAGAAACAAAATTTGTTCTTCTTAGTAATGCTTGACCGCTATCGATTTCTACTCTATCAATATAAATAATAATCGTGTATCTTTTCAATTTGCCACTCCCCCAGTGGGCGTGGATATATCATTTTAACCAATCCATATTAGAAAGTAAAAAATATTGTTTACATAAAAATTTCAAAATATTTTATTTGTATTTTTACTCTTTGTTAACGAATACGATAAAACATTAAAATCCACCTCGGATCTTGGATATTACATTCGGCTTCTTCGTTTTATCCGCATTGTCCTTGTACTGTGCTTCAATATCCGGCGTATCGGATTTATACTTTGCATAAACTGCTTCTAATTTTCTCTTATAAAGCTTCTCCAATTCCTTGAAGCCATACATAACTAGCCGATAGAATATAACATACACTATAATGTCCAGTAATACGAATATGAGCACAGGCGTTAACGTTTTTCCCAGCTGACCAAAGTTTAATGTCAAATAGTTTTTATTTGTAAATACTCTATATATGTAGGCCGTGAAGTGCAGCCAATATAAGGTAACGATAAATAATTCTATAAACTTTTTCTCAAACATGTTTGGCACTTGCTTTGCTTTGAGCGAATGTCACGAACTGAATTTCTTCAACGATACTCACTTCGAACGGGCATATATAATAGTTCCAGACGGAGTATTACCATCAAAGAAATCATGTGGTTGTATAGAATGCTGCTTTACGTAACTTGTTATTTTTAGTTTAATAAATATATTTTATAATAGCAGCTCGATGTTGAGTTCAACTCCAAGGGCACCATTAGCATAAGAGCTGGACGTAAACATTTTTATTGTATCGATGTCACAGATTTAGTCGTACTCACTTTTGCTTAAAAATAATTCTTATAAGCCATTAGGGAATATGATTCCATACTTATCGATTGTAAAAGCCATTTCTGTTTCCCCACCATATAAGAAAATATAACTACTTGAGTAACTTTGAATCGTGAACATTCTTTTATTATGGAGTATATCTCTTTATATAACATAACATACGATATATGTATATATAAATATTTCAATGGATAAGCAGCCAACAATTTAATTGCTTTCTGAACTTAGAACTAGGTAATAAATATATATCTATGCAATTACTTTTCAAACATGACTCGCAAAAACTATTCGTATTCGTATTCGCTAGCTAATATTAAAATATGAAGAAAACATAAAATATTTGTTTACATTGCTTTAAGATTTCACTAAATGATCTATTCCTGTTACAGGAACAGCTAACATTAGAGTTGCTTCGCGTCATTTAGATGACTTGAATTGAGTGAACGGGACTCTTGTCCTATCTATATCGTCATAGTAGTTCATATACTAGACATTCTAGTGAACTGATTGAACTTTTCATTGCCAAATTGAAAGGATCGGAATAACTGATCAATAAACAATGTCGATCTCGACTCGAAAAAGAAAACAATCGGATTTCGCACATCTACGTAAATAATTGTCCTAAACTTGGGTTGGTCTTTGGTTCTTTGGCTAATGCTAATACTTGATGCGAGCTACATTTCGCTCCTCCAGCTTCTCCATATTATATCTTGGGTCTGATCTGCTGGGAGGTGCCCATCAGGACGTCGGGCGACATGATGATGCCGTGGCTCAGCTTGCGGGCCAGCCCAGGGGTGCGGGGCGGCGTCGAAGGCACGGGCGGAGCGCACCTCAGGCTGGGCGTGGGGCTGGAGATGGGCTGCTGTGGCTGCCGCAGATGCGGATGGGGCAACGTGGCGCTGCGCAGCGGCCGCGTCTCGTGCTTGATGTGTATGCGTGCCAAATCGCTTTCCACGAGCAGCGGATGACTAATCGTGCGTATGACCTTTGGCGTTTGATCCTTGACTGCGACGGGGCCATCAACCGTATCGATGTTCTCCGTGGATACGGCCTGATAGTGTGACTTATCCTTGAGCTGCGATTCGGGATCCTCTTGGGTCTTCTTCAGCTTATGCCACATCTTCACATCACAGACTTTCAGCTTCATATAGATGAAGATCACAATCCGATAAAAGGTCACGTAGCCAGCGAGCAGGCAGAGCGCGAAGGTGGCGTGATCCGAGAACGATTGAAATGGAATGTTGAGATCCCAGCGTATCCAATTTTGTGTCTTGCAATATTGATAGATGGCTGGCGTAATAACCATCCAATAGAAGAGCAGTGTGAACAGTTCAATAATCCTTTTTTGAAACATTGTTGCTATGTATCTATGTGTACACGGTTGTATTCACTGTTAGTCCAAGAAAACCCGCGCGAACGCTTCTTGTTCCGTTTCGAAAATGTATTCGTTGCGTTTGGGTTCAGATTCGTTACTAAATGATGTGCACAGAGCGCATAACCCAGCTATATAATACAAATCAACGATCAATGCAGCCAGCCCGTCAACCCAGCTGAAAGCCCGACTTGAGCAGACAGAGAGCGACATACGAAGTGTGTCTGTACGAGAGTGGGAGAGAGAGGGAGAGAGAGAGAGAGAGAGACAGATACAAAGACTCTCTGACTCAAACGGCAGCGATTCGCGAGTTATCTGTGCTCAGTGTTAGACAAGCACTTGGATGGCGCTGCTTTTTGTTGTCGTTTTGCTTTTTTATATTTTATCGATATCAGCTGGCTATATATATACATTAGTCGTATCACTATATCGTCGTGAACGTAAACAAAATCCCTGGAATAAGTGCATTAATTCTTGGAACTGGTTTTTGGGCTCTACCCCTTAGAGACAGGTGACAAGTGCACAGATACATATATATGAATTTAGTATGAAAACAGGTTGAGTGACAAATTGAGTCGTGTTGTGAGTTTTTTATACTTGGTATATTCGAGCAGGTTCATTGTATATTTTGCAATTTACATTTCTTAGATCATTGGCTCGACTTTGTCTTCGATTTGTTTTTAGTTTTATTTTGCTTTTGCTTTTGCCTTTGCTTTTGTGACGTGTTTTGGCGAAATTTTTCAAGTTAAGCTCAGTTTTTGAAATTGTGATTCATGCGAGTTTAAATTTAATTTATTATACGATTAAAACACCTGTAGTAACTGAGGGTTGCGCTAATGATTTTTTATTTTTTGTTTATCTTTTTTCTTGCTGCTGTAGTAACATGCTTTTGGCATGATTTCACAGGTCTTGAAACACAAAGAGAGAAAGATATCAATTGCCAGCAATTTTCTTGTCAAAGTCTATCAAAATAAAGTGTTAATTCGATGGAGCTGCTTTAAACGCACTCGTTAGCTATCGCTTTAGCTCAATCTATAACTATTTATACACAGCCGAGCTGTTTACTTCATAGGTCCTCGTCTAGTTGGAGTCATTGCCGAGCCGTTTTTGCTCGTGTATCGTAGCTGGTATGAGTCGTAGGCTATCTATCTATCTCATTCAATCGCTCGGCAAAAACAACATGACTTGCCATTAATTAGCATTACAATCAGCATTGAGGTAGTTCACCTGGGCACGAGCCAACGCGCTAATTGGCCAGAGGCTAGTTAGTTGGAGGCTAGTTTTTGTTGATCTTGAATTGCCCTACACAGACCCAGTTCTGCGAAGCACAGTCGGTGTTATATAAGAAATACATATATATATATGTGCATATGTTTGCTCCACTTATTATGAATGGGCTGCGTTGTGGCTGGACATGCTGCAAACAAATACTCTTTTCATTATATATTTATATCAAAGCACTTCTGTAGTCTACAAATAGAAGTTCAGACAGTTCAGAGATTGAAGTTTCTTTAAGCTGGAATTTCATCTGCACAAACGTGTGGGTTAAACAAACGCATACTATACCATACCAGATAGCTGAATAGAGAGCAAGTCTTGAGTCTTGAACAAGAATTTTCTAATCGCGAATTACTCTCAGACTTTATATAAGTATCTGCTTCGGTAAGAATTTCTTAATCGTGAATCGCTCAAGACAACATGATTATAACATCTATGCATAAATTTTATTATCATATTCTTCTGCAAAAAATGTGTATATATATTTATAATCATATAAAGAGAGAACAAATTATTTGTATATGAATATATACATTCGAGAATAGTTTAGCAAATACATGTCTTTTTTGATCTGGCATTTAACAAGAATTTTCTGATCGCAGATTGCTAAAGAGCTTATAAGATTCTTACCAGAATAATAAAACAAGTAATTTTATCTATTATTCAGTTAATAAGATAATATGACTTATGATCATGCTAAACCGTATGAGGATATAGATATTGTAAGAATAGTATAAAGAATTATCGAAACTTTTTATAATTATGGAATATTGGGAATAATTTGTATTTATTACATTTCACTTGTTTATATATGTATATATAATATATCGATTGTTATATTATTACTAGAATCTTGAGCTTTTCAATTTGAATGGAATACAAACGGGCTTAGTATTCCCTATGTACTATCTATAGTATATAAGATTCCTATAATCCCCGCTTGGTTTTTATGAATGAAATACGATCGGTATAAACCTGTTCCGTGAATACTTCAAGAAATTATCACACGTGCCCGTCGATTTTATGAATGGAATACGATCTGGATAGACGTGTTCTATAAACGTATGCACAACACTTTACATATCAGTCACACGCACACACACCAATACTTACTCACACTTGTTTTGTATATAGTACCTGTAATATATGTATTTATAAAGAATTTTCTTATACGTACTTGACATGTATCTACTATGTATATTTTAACTAATTATCACCCGATAGCTATATACTAACTATATTAGTCATTCAACATTTTCATATGTATATTTAGCTAGCGATAATTTTGATTATAATTTTTCTAATATTTCTTGCTCTCGCACTTCTAGCGCTTTCTTTGGCCAGTCTTGAGTGTGAACTTCAAGTTTTTCGTTTCCTTTATTTGAATTATATTTCAAACAAACAAAAACAACGTCTAATGTTTCATTTGAGTTTCTGTGTTTACTTTTTTGATTATAGTGAAGGCAAAATGAAATACAACAAAACTTCCCACTGCGCTTTGATAAATACAAAAAAAAAAGTACATATGTAAATTTTTTTCCAATCAACCAAAAAATATACGAAAAAAAAGTCATTGAATACTGAAGCTTGTATGTATACTTAAAAAACAGTTGCAAAATCTAAAAGAAAAAAACTTTAAACTTTTTGTATGATATTTTAGTTGTACTAAAAACCGTAACTTTATTTTAAATGTATAAAAAAATTGTTTATTTTTACTTTTGATTTGAAAGAACTAGCAAACCAAGCCACCTGAATATGTACCAGAGTTAGTGGAATGCGAAGCCACACAACCCACTGTGGTACTTGGCCAATGGCCTCTGAGCCTGCTGTTTCACACCCGATGCATCCAGCTGTATGCACCCAAGCTATCCAATTCCTGTTGTACATAAACATCAATTGAAACTTTCCTTAAAAGTGTTCGCACTCTTGCCATGCATTCATCTTTGCTGCACTCGAACCAGACTTTCCTTATGCCTAGCAGACTTGTAAGTTTCCACTAGAAAACCTCTCGATGTGGACATGACGAGACCTACGACCCTAACGGACCCGGTACATGGCTACTCCCTGAGCTGCTCAGAGTAGAGATCCCCCAGCTGTAGTCGGTCCGCTTGACTGTGAAATACTCTCTTACACGTTGCTTGAATTTCTGTGTATTACGTGTTGACGTGTTGTGGTTATTTTACACGAACTTAATTTCCTGATATCGTTTTTGGTTAACTTTTCGTTGTTTATGGTTTCGAAATATTGGCTACATTTAATTGCACTTAACAATTCGATTAGCCTTTAAGCAATACAACAGCTGAAAACAACAACAACAACAACAACAATTACAACAAAGTACATACAGCAGCTACTACAACAATCTAACATCAACGCTCTCTACACTAAACTGTAAATTTATACAAATTGCAATAATAAACTTTTCTTCTTCTTCTTTTCACCTTTTTCTCAACAACAACAACAATGCTTACCATCAAAATAATATTGACAAAATAAAAACCAATCGCATTGCTCTTAAAAAAAAAAAAACAAAAACAAAAACAAAAAACAAAAAAAATCAAAAACAAAAATTAATTAAATTGAAAATACAATTGAAAAAAACATTTCAATGCTGAAATCTCTCAACACAATGCCTAAACGTAACCAAATAACCGTTAACTGTTAACGCAAACGTAACCGTAACCGTAAACGTAACCATAACCGTAACCATACCACCCGTTCCATCGTTCTTCCTTCACTTCAGGGTAATGCGGCCAACTCATCGGAAACGTCAATGGCCACACAGCCGGGCGGTTCGGTGACATCCCGGGCGGCCAGCGAGACCCGCTCGGGTCCAGCCGGATCGAGCAATGCGGGCGCTACAGGTAATAGCAGTGGTGGGACCGCTGGTAGTACACAGACCGGTGCAAAATTCCGTCATGGCCTATTACAGCTAATGATACACACCATAGATCCACTACACGATGGTAAGTTCGTTTGAGTTTGTCACATTGTGTTTTGCACAAGCCAAAAGAGAATCACAGAAAATGAATCAAATTTAATAATGTGTGCCTAAAATCCCGCCAAACCCCATCCTAAATACCCCAAATCAAAGAGCTCCCACTTCCCCAAAACGTACAAAGCTCCCCACCCATAACGCTTACATTTAAAAACAAAAGCAATTACATTATACCAACTACTTATACTATATATAATTTACTTAATTCCTTAAAAAAGAAAAAATGTTGCCTTCGGACTACCGAAGTCTCGAATACCCTTGCAGAAGATGGACAGTTATTTTTTAAAGCTGGATGTATTCAAATATTCATATGTGAAGCAGCCGTGCAGCATTAAATAGTATCATATATGTGGGGAAATAAATAAATTTCATGAAATCCGAATATTAGTTGTAACTCACCTGAAAAATTAAATTGTTACCAAAAATACAAAAAAAAAAAAAAAAAAAACAATTCTCTTTAATTTTGATTAGAACAAATGTGTCTGATATGAATAAAGTTTATTCGATAGTTCCTGAGGTACTTCATAGGATTTTTTACATATTGCTCCGTTATGCATAGTTCTGCATTTTAGGATAAGCTGCTTAGGCTGAATAAATCTATAATAATCTTCAGATATAAAGAAGCCTAATCAAATAGTTTCTATGGCTTTCCAATTGTAAAACTTACCTCAGTCAGTATTATCTAAAAGTTGTCAAAGTGCCCACTGCAAGGATATTAAAAAATAAAAATAAATTAAACGTTGTACTCAGTTCCTTTAAAGTCTGTGTATATTCTGTGTTCCTTCTAATTGGATGTTTGACTTGCTAGCAAAAAGTTACTTACACCTTACTCTTTACTCTCTTTACTCTCTCTCTTTCTCTGTATATTTATGTATTTGCCAATTGTTTATTGTTGTTGTTGTGTTCCTTTTTATGTTCGTTCGCTTTGTTTGTTTCTGTTTGTTCGTCTTTGTTGACTTGGCTTTTGCGCTGGTTAGTTTTTAATGCCTGACCTTGAGGCCACTTATCGAATTACCAGGGGCTAGTAGCTCGACCAGACTGAGCGTCGCGTCGTCTCTTCGCGTTCGTCAATTTACAGCTGTGCGAGCTCTTTGCACCCAGCCCTATGCCGCCCTGTGTGTACCCTACCAAGTTCTTCGTGGCATATCAGAAGGGGGCACGTATTCCACGTCTCCGGCTGCGGCACCGGACGTGCTTGCATTGATTTATTATGTATTAGGCACAGAGCCGACTGGATTGGACTGGGCTGGGTTGGGCTGGGGCATGAACATAAATATGTATGGGGCCGCGTTGCCACGGCAATGGCCCACAGCCCAAGACCAAGACAAACTCGAAACTCAAACTAAAGCCAAAGCTTAAACTAAACCGAAACAAAGCAAATCAAAGTAAGGCAAAGCAAATCAAAGCAAACTAGCCAGAGCCAGTGCGGGCCGTGCCGTTTCGGTATCAAGGTTTTCCACAGGTACAAAGTGTTAAAATTCTTTTACTAGTTCTCTTTTTTCTTATTCACACATGAGGCACACTTAATTGTCAGCGGATATTGCGAGCTTGTGGGAAAATTGAAAATAGAAAATGCGCACAAAAGCCTTAACCTAAAGGAAACTGCATTAGAGTTAATAACTTCCAATATAGATAATGTGACTTTGATATCAATTCAATCTAAGAGATAGAGACAAAATTTTGTACAAGTTTGACAAAATGTATAAGAAATATTTCTAGTTTTCTCAAGGATTAATTTTATTCATCTGAAAATTGTCTGTCAAATATATTATTCGCTAGCTGATATTGTCAAGGTTCTCTTACTTCTATCTCAATTACACTTTGCTCTCACCCAATATATTTTCGATGATATCTTAATAATATCAATTTGATATTTTAGTAAATTTTCATTAATATTTGAGTTTTTGTTTTCCCTTTTCCTCTCCTCTTTAGTTAATGTTAATTCATTATTAAATCTTAAATTTGCTGCTAAAGTTTCAATGCCAATATATTGAGTTGTGCTGCCTCATTAAATTGCAATTTACTTGTCTATATACCATATTATTTTCCGCTTAGTCATTTCTTTATATAATTTTGCTACAGAAAATTAAAAATAAACAAAAAAAAAATGAAACCAAGTTACGAAAATATTTTATGTTGTTCAATGTCAGTTTGGAGTTACATTTATATACTATATACATATGCGTTATATATTAAACTATATATATGTATCTAAATATTTGATAAATTGTATTCGATAGACATTCCTAGAATGTTGTGTGCAGCTTAGTGCTGACGAAGACACTCGTTTGTATCTATGAGTGGAATACCTGTTCACATCTGGAATTCGTATCTTTTGATATCTATATAACATAGTAGCTGTAAGATTGTTTCTGTTGCAAACGTTCCATTGCTTCGCTCGAGCATTTGTTCACTCTTTCAGCATCAGTTTTGACGCGTGACAATAACTAAATAATTCATATTGTACATATGACTTATGTATTTATATATCATTATATATATATTACATATTTATAAACAACGTGTGCATTCAATGTTGTATGTGTTAATTGTAATTACTTAGCAACTAGTACAATTGGCCTACAAAAATGCTGCTCGAAATTGGCCCGGGCCTAGTACGCAGCCACAATCCATCAGATATTCAATTGTACTTAATAGCTACGAGTTATTAGCGAGGTGCCTGCATGTATCAAGTTGACGTCGACTAGTCGAGCGGGTTGTTTGCTTATTTCTCTTGTTTTTTAATTTTTCACTTCTCATTTGTGTTTAGGTCTGAACGTTTAAACATTTACCTATACCATTGGAATGTGCATTGTACTAACGATGTTTACATCTGTTTTCAATGTGCTTTAAAGTAATATGACATTGTGAGGTTTATCATGTTGGATATACCCTGAAACATTAATAAGACAATATTTGAAAGCGCAGTAACAAGAAATTTTATTTCCAATCAACTTAAATCACATATGAACAGCCTTTGCCATTGTCAATGTGCATAAATTGTTTAAAGTAATTAATTGCATTTTTATTACTTGTGATAATCTACAGTTTTCGAAAAATATTTCCCTGCTTTAATTTGTCATATATACTTATTGAGTTCAAGTAAAATAATGCAAAGGAAATTTATAAAATATAAAAATATGATTATCCCATATTGAATATGGAATTCAAAATGTTATCTATACGTAATTTTCGTGTGGCTTACAACACTGGAAATATAGCATATAAATAATTCACAGCATAAAGCTTTCTATACTCCAGTTCAAAAATCTACTTCATAAGAAGTTTGTTGATTTGATATCTGGGATTCTGCTTGCATAAACTGTAACTGAATTTCACAACACTAGCAAAATAGGCTGATCTGATATCATTGTCTTTGTGAATAATGTTTCAACGCTATCCGAAATGCATAATTCCCAACAAGTTTACATAATGTCGTATGCCTGGTTCATATGAATAGCATGTGGTTAACGTGTTTCCGATAGATAATACTCGTGTAAAAAGTTTGCATAATACAAAAAAATATATATATGTATATATACATTTACTAGATCTAGCTAAGTCTAAACTCTTTAGCGTATCTTAACTGTAAGCTAAGCCTAAACCTAAGTCTCTGTCGATATGAACACATATGTATATGTATATACAAAATGTTAGTGCCAAATGCTGTAATATACATGGGGTACGCGATGAGCAGCTCTTTAGCGGCAGCAGGCGGTTTATGTAGCCCCAGTACGTACCACTTCATGCCACATTGACAACAAACAACAACCAGAAGTACTAAAAATTTAAATAAAATAGAAACCTGTCCGTGTTCCCAAGCCAAAATTAATTCGCATTCGCATCAATCCAAAACCTCAAAATTTTTAAAAACCAAATCGGAAATGAAACTCAAAATGTTCCCAATTCCTAGTGCAAAACACAAGATTGCTGTCACACTCAAAAGAAAAAAATTAAAAAAAAAAAATTGCTAAAAAGTTAGACCAAAAATCCATGAGACTCTGACACGGTAAATATCAGTAGTGTATTCGTTTAGTTGATATATCTAGATTTATTAGTCTTAGATGTAGCTTACTAAAGCCCCCAAATCCCCTCTCTAACTATCCCCCCTATCACACTCTCTCTCTAAACACTCATGTCCACAACTATTGCTTCGATTTCAATACTGCTCTATGTGCGCGCGTGTGTGTGTATACGTGCGTGAGTGTGTGTCTGTATGTCTGTGTCTGTATCTGTATTTATATGCCTATTACACTGTCCTGCTAGCTTTCCAAACTCTCTGAATCGCTCTCTAGTCTATGCCTCAACTCTAGTTTAGTCTCTAACCTACTAGCTAATACTCTAACTACTGTTACATGCTACTACTATTATAATCAACCTCCAAAATGCTATATCGCAACTGACATCAACATTTTGTATAAAATATTTTCAATATATCTAACCCAAAATTTTTAATAAAAGGGCATTTAGCTGCTTGTAAATTAATTTAAAAAAAATCTAATTTAAACAAGAATATGCGAACAATATAATTAACTGGGTTAATTCGTTTTATTCTCATTTTAATCGATGCAATTTTATTCTTTCTTTCTTCTTCTTTTATTCTTTTATTTTTTGAAAAAAAAAAAAAAACAAACAAACAAATATATATAAAAAAACACTTGGATTTTGCGTTGAAAACTCAATTCGTATTGTGTGAAAAAAAAAATCAAACTACAAAAACACCGCCTACTACTCTACTCTGCTACTGCAACAACAACAACAATCAAACCAACAAACAACAACACACACACGCACACTGTCTCTGTCTCTCTCTCTCTCTCTCTCTCTCTGTCTCTCCACACACACTTTGTGTATGCATATTTTGTTTTCTATAAAAATCGAATCGAAACACCTTCCTCAAAAAAAATTCAAAACAACCCAACACACAATTACAATGACAAAGATGATGTTCCAGGCAAAGTGGACGAGAAGGCAACCCAGCTGCATGCCATTGCCTCGCTTAAGGTGCTGCTGGATGCCACAAAGCCGCAACGTGGTGGCGCCACCACCTCGGCGGCCAATCACGTCAAAATCAATCTCAAGGAAACTACGTTGGCCGATCGCCCCAATGGGAATATCGACACGACGCTCGACTCGGTAAGTCCAAGATGTTGCAATTTCTGTTACGATATACCCCGATTATATATATACCTGATATGATAATTAAATTTGATTATACTAAAAAAGAAAGTGCTAATGAAATAATTGCTCATGATTTCTAGGCATGGTTTACATTCAGTTTTCATTTCTTTTCAATTGTTTTATCGTATTCTGATTTTGATTACGAATTGAACTTTGTCACACACAATGCGCTGCATTCTTCATACAACAAATCGCAGATGAATATTGTATAATTTGAATATCGTAAAACGTTGAAAGTCGAATACTGTAAGCGTCGAATATCGTATTTTTGAAACAAACCTACCTACTGTTTAATGTAGTATGTGGACCACATTTGAGCTACTTCTGAAAATTACGATATTGACGATAGTTTAGGACAAGGTACCAACCATATCGTAAAATGTTAATTGGTTTTAATTGATGTACTTATATTTATATAAATACATATTTTTATTTCCATCGTTTATTGGCCCGACCCCAGTGTTTAGAGCATCAGATTCAAGCGCGTTACAATATTATCATTTGGATCATTTACAACAAATTTAATCCATAACTGTTGGCATGTTTTCTCTACATTGCTACTTGATTGATAGATTGGTTAAGTAATTGATGCGTTTGGACTGATTCTAAACCAAAAATTTAAAACACGTATGTTTTTTCCCAATTTGTAAGCCCAGGCATTACTTATTTGTGTGTATTCTTTATGTGTTCTCTCCTCTTTTGCGCGCTTCGAAGCTCAACTTTAAATGTGTAGACAGACCCTAAAAACAAAAAACAAAAACAAAACCATCAACAATTGCGGTCTCTGTGTACCTATGCAACGTTTCTGTGTGACTTATAAATTGATATATATTTTACATTTTACTTTCAACTTATCTATATATAACTTTCCATACACCTTCCCCCACAACCACCTTTCGTTGTGTATGTTTACTTATCCTTAACCGTTATTCTCTATCGTCCATGTCCACCACCATCCATTCATATCTCTATCTCTATATCTCTATCTATCTCTCTTTCTCTATGTGGCTCTCTTAAATTCTAACTCTTTATCTCCATCTATCTCTCTCTCTCCGTCTCTCTCTGTGTGCGTGTGTTTCTGTGTCTTGCCTAACCATCAACCAAACATTCCCTAAAAGCAAATCTGAAAATTAATGAGCTAATCGGAATTGTGAAGTTTTTCACCCATTTACGATCATCGTTTTTTGCGGACGCCATTTGGAACAAAAATCATTTGCTTTGTATCTTGAATTTTGAAACGTACTGCCTAGTGTTGAACGAATGCCGACAGCTCGCATTTAAGACTAATCCAATTGAAAACAAACGTTAAACACAAAATTTAATATTCACAATAACGTTTTGTTTGTGTTTCGGTTTATTATTATTTCGTTTTGTTTGGTTCACATGCTGCTGTTCGATTAAATCATTCCAATAATCAGTTATTCAGGCATTCCCAGGCACTCATTGCTAATTTGTAGCTGCCACGCGCTGTGCCAGAACTCTCGCTACGCCTATGCAAATGCCAGTTCACACACCCACACACACACACTCACACCCATCATAGACACACACACAACCATTACGCCCACATTTCCATCCATATTATAACACTCGGAGCGTGCCTATGCCGATTATCGTAACCTGTTATTGTTGAAAAATGAACTTTTTAATGCAGCTGCTCATAAATAATAATATACATCACTTTTTTAGTTTGTTTTGGATTTGTGAAAAAAGATGACAAGGCAAAAAAAAAAAAAAACAAAACAAAATTCAAAGACGATTCAAAAACCATTCAGCAAGTAAACATAAGCCCATTCAATCTGAACATATTTCATTAGAATGCGACTCACAAATGACACTGAAAAAAAAAAAACTTAGCCCGCTTCCGACTTGGAACTGATTCACAAAATCGAAACCGAAACTGAAATCAAAATCGAAATCAAAATTGAAAAGCCTCTAAATCGAAATCTAAAAAAAAAAAAAAAAAAAAAACAATTCCATTTTTGCTCTCCAACAGTCCCACACTCAAATAACTGTAATTGTGTTAAAAACCCATTCAGTATGTGTTTGTTATGTAATAACCCCTCCAACACTCAACTTCTTATCACAATCTCTATCTATCTCTTTCTATCTAACTACTCTATCGCCCAGTCTGTCTATCTGTTTCTAAACAGTGTTTGGTTTTTTAATCAAGTTTTATTTCCATAGCTGAAACTAAGCAAAGGCAAAATTCCCACCGAATAATCTCAACAAAAATACCATAAATATTTAAATTTCTTTAACAAATATTACAAAAATACATGCAAACAAAATGAATTGCTAACCTAACTTCAATTTTATATCAAAAGCCATCGTTAAGTGGTCGACGTCCTAGCTGGATTGAGCAGAGGGTCAAAATTCAGACACGCAAATTTAGCATCAAAGTTAGTTTCATAAACAATTTTTATTGCTCTCTCTTTCTATCTCTCTCTATCTCTTCTCTATATATTGCATACCAATTTTACAATTATCATTTTTAATTTCACAAATATCGTAACAATTAAATTGATATATAACCATATACACATCTGTGCCGTGTCTCGAGCGCGACGTCAGCGACTCGGAGCTTCTAAACCCTGACGTTGCCTCAAAGCGCACGCGTCTTGATTCGCACTCTCCTGCACAGTGGAATGCAAGGGTAAATGGCGAATAGCAAATGGCAATTGACGATTGGCAACTGGCAATTGACGATTGGCAACTGGCAATTGTCAGTGGACTAAATGTGTTCCTCGCACCCAAATGTCTAGAAGATGAGGCAATCGACATTATCGATTTGCATATAATCGATTTGAATATTATAATTGCTTATGTCCGTGACTATAGAGTGATGGCAGACAGCTCGTAATGCTAGGTGGGGCCGGTCTTCTCAATTGCCTTAGAATATTTGAGAGAAAGCAAAATACAACGCAAAAATATGAATATCGTAAACTGAATATCGACCGTCATATGGTGCATACAATATATTTATTTCGAAATATCTTAAACTTATAAAGTAAACTTTTAAAGTATTTGTATTTACTCCATTAAATGATATTCGAACACAGCAAAAATTTAAAATAGATATGATTTCCTAAATACAAATTTCGAATATCATAAGTCTATATTGAGGTGAGACTTGTCTGTCCGTGTAGCACCTGTTGTTGCTATATTTAAATTTCAAATATCGTAAATAGTAAGTCTATATTCGGGGGAGGCTAGTCCATCCGTGTAACACTTGTTGTTCCGCCTACTCATAGAACAATCCGCAGTGTGCAACACCTTCCGACTTAATACTAATTATGACTCACTTATACGTAACTTAATATTCGAACTCGATTTGGCATGACGTCAGTGCGTAGCTTGTCATCGACCACAGCTCGAGCATTGCCCAGGAGCGTGAAGCAACAACCGCAGTCGCCACAGCACAGAATATATCAATCAATGAAGAGTATTTTCACACCCGCATTGCTTTCGTGCCGCTTATACGAAATGTAGCCTTACCATTGCGCTTACTTATGTAGTTGAAATAGTATTAATTTGTCATAAATCACCTATGTAATACTTAACGAACTTAACATATTTTACTTTCTATTTTCGTTACACTTTGATCAACTTTAGTTCGGATTGAGAGTCTGTGTGCGTGTGCGTATGCGTATGTGTGTGGGTGTATGTGCGTAGCCTATCTTTGTATGTGTAGCCGAAAAAAAAAATACAAAAACAAAGTACTACATTCGAGCATGCCTCTAACATAAACTATGAAGCTGAAATCTGTGCACGTTACAATACTCGTATAGCACCCACTTAAGCTCGTATAACTAGAAAGTAAGTGTATGCACTTTGTTTGTACGTTTTTGCTAAATAAACACATACACGATCTATTTTTTAACTCTGGCCACACTTGAACTCTCGTACTACTTATACGCACCATTTGACTTTAACTTTAACTAGTGTCCATCTGGCTTCGCCTGTCTGTGAGCGTGTCCCCACAACTCGAAATCAAGCGAAGAACTTGATCTGATCAGAACTAACATACCCCATAATGTCGAAAGAAACTCATATAGCCGAACTACATACATACATCAGACAATATTACCCATATCGTACTCATACACATTTATAAATATATATATTTTTTTAACATACTAACATACATACGTTATACATATATATAATTCTATTCTTAACCGAACTTTATTGTATAAACATCTGAAGAGAACAAGTCTATTAAAGCACTGCAGATGCTTTGACCTTAACATTTTGTAATATATATGTATATGTATTCGCATATGTAAGGCGCCTGAAATAATCGAGGATGAGCCGGAGCCTTTGAGCATGGCTTGGCCGGATACGGCCCGCAAGCGGCTCACGTACGTCCTGGTCGCTCCGCTTCTGGTGCCTATGTGGCTGACGCTGCCCGACACCCGGACCCCCCGCGGCAAGCGCTACTTCCCCGTCACCTTTATAGGCTCCATCGTGTGGATAGCCGCCTTCTCCTATCTTATGGTCTGGTGGGCAAATGTCGCAGGTGATACGGCGCGCATACCGCCAGAGGTACGTAGAAGGCATGAAGAAGTTGAGGTTACTGATATAGACTTTTTTCATATTGGAATTGTCTGTCAATTTAATTTTCATTGATATAAATATTAATAATAATAATCATAATAATAATTTTCAATCATCCAACTGAAAACTGGACAATATCCTACTATGCTATATAGTTTAACTGAGAACTGTCCCCAATGCATTGTGTGTCCACTTTATCGTATTTTCTTCTTTGCTTTCCCCCAGAGATACTTTCGATAGTAAAAGCATTTTTGTTAAATTGAAAGATGTGGCATCGTACATTCTTTTCATCGAAGATGCTTACTGCTAGGCACTTTCAGATTTAACTCTCATATGACTCACTCTGCTCTGCACATCCGACTATATCAAAGAATTCCTATTTCGCCAAAGATCCAATATCTTCTTGAGCATTTTGTCAGGATTTCGACCGGTAGTCCTGGCACTACCGCCGTCTATTTGCGGTACTCCGAATTTATACAATTCTGATCTTCTTGTTAAAAGAGTCGAATAGAACTGCAATACTTGCAGCTGCCTTTGGAGCATCGTATTCTGTGTTTTATTTTGTATTTCTTGGTATTAGGACTTCCAAGCATCTACATTACCTTGGATGTACAGTCCCTCGTAGCGATCCCCATGATTGTCCTTGTAGAAACCATCCTCTAGAGCCAGGACCCTTGAACAAATTAAGGACATATCTAAACTTTAGTCTATACCACCAAAAATGAATATGAATTGATTCCGAACCATGATTCAAGAACTTATGGTTGTATCTTACTATCTATAAACAAATATTAGACGAGTTTTCCCATCGCTTTTTTCCAGATAGCGTTGTCTTTATATGTGTAGTCCCACCTGATCATACTGATCAATACAATTGTGTTTAGTTATGTTGAATTCTAAATGAATTCTCTCTTATTGTACAGGTTATGGGCCTTACCTTCCTGGCGGCGGGCACATCCATACCGGATTTGATTACGTCGGTGATTGTGGCCCGCAAAGGCTTTGGCGACATGGCTGTGTCTAGCTCCGTTGGCAGCAACATATTCGACGTGACTGTGGGGTAAGTGCTCAAGCTCAGATAAGCATTATCCATTTATATGCCTAATGATGGACAGTTGAGACTAATGTATATATCTGCCCATTGGATATGCAGCTTGCCGATACCCTGGCTGCTCTATGGGATTATCTACGATGCACCCGTTGAAGTGAATTCGGTGGGCATGGTGTGTTCCATAACCATATTGTTTATGATGCTCGTTTTTGTGGTGCTATCAATTGCCTGCTTCCGTTGGCGCATGAACAAGGGGTTGGGCTTTACCATGTTTCTACTGTACTTTGTCTTTGTTGCCGTGTCGCTGATGTTTGAATATGATTTCATCACCTGCCCCGTGTAAATCTGCACCGTTGCAGATCAGCGACTCTGCAACAAAGACAAAATGACAAACACCATCTCACTTCCACACACACACACACACAGAGACACACACATACACTCAGAGAGACAGGCGAACACTCGCAAACCAATTAGCTAAATTTATACACAAAACAAATCAATGAATTAAATTAACAAATTGACTAAAACTAATCGAATTGTTAAGCAAATGCATAAATCACAACACGAATACAGTGAGCATAACAAATAAAAGCCAAAAACCAAATGAAAATAATGAAGCAAAATACGAAAAAGATAACGAAAGCGAAAGCGATACCGAAAAGCAAGGTAAAAACGAGTTAGTTAGTGCTATGTGCAGCGTTTTTTCCTTTCCCCACAAAAGAGACATTTACTTTAAATGTTTAGCCGCAGCTTTTAAGCAGTTTAAAATATGAAACTAAAGCAACACACCCAAACTCACACACGCACAGACATACACATACCCATACACTAAGCTCTTCACCTCTATCTATCTATGAATCTATCTTTCTCTCTACTCGAACTATAAACCTTTACTAACTTTATCTATTATTGAGTATATACTATTTAAATACCAACAAAAATTACCAAGAATAATGGCTTCCCAATCAATTACTTTACTTAAGCGTTTGCGTTTCTCAAATTACTATCTATTTACGAGTATATCAAATCTAAGTACTAGCTTGGCACAAGCACCTTATATACGTTACGATCAAGACAGTCGGCAATTATGTTGGGTATATGTTTTACAAGCTTTTGCAAGTGTTGAACAAACTCTTTCGGACTCATTGCATAACTTTCAGTCTCAGTCGAGCTGAAATCAAAAACAATTCTCGAACCAAATCAACACTTATTTCAACCCTTAAGCAATGTAATATGTGCTAGAATTGCTTACGACTTTTTTATTGAAATTTTTCAGCTATTTTAAGACTTTTTGGTGTCTCAATTTGTGCTTAAACTTTTTGAGAGATCAGATTTTCCGCTTTTTGGACCAAACTTTCCGTCAATTTCAGCTCATTTCCAACACTTGCCGCTCTCCAACACTATAATTTGCGTGCTCTACCAACTATATTATAAAATGTTCTCTAGTAATTTTCCAAGCACTATTAAGATGAAATAATGAAAGCTTTACGCCAGATAGAGCCTAAATCAGTCTAGTTTTTACGAAACTTATACTATATATATATATATATATATATATATACATATATATATATAAAACTTATATACCACACGCACACTTACATCGCATATAAATATATATATACATATATCCCCATATATGTATATATATACTTACTTATATATTGACCTATATTAATTAAGTGATAATTTGCGTACTTATTAAACGACAAAGATGATAAGCTACAACTATACTCAAAAGGAAATACTAACATAAAATCTAAAATTATATAAAATATAACACTAGGCATACTTTAAATCGAAAAGAAGAGGAAAACATTTTGCTAAGCATTTGCCAGACATAATTTAAAAAATGAAAAAAAAAACACAAAAAAACGATGGAAACTTTATGACTAATCGTCATTCTTGTATTATGATTATGATTATTATTATGATTAACACTTATGATTCTTGTTTGCGTGCGTAAACGATGCAGTTATTTCAAATGAAACAAAATATTTCTTATACTACACATGAAGGAAAATTAAAAACAATTTTCAAAAAAAAAACAAACAAAGAAACAAACAAGCAAACAACAATATTAATAATTTCATATACTTTTTGCTTAATAAATCCCCTATAAATATATATATTTATATAAACACATATATACACATAATATATATATATATATATATGAGCATATAAACATATTTATATGTATGCGAAAGAGAAAAACAATATCTTAACAAAAACAACTTGCTCTCTTTATTTAGAACGTACGTAACATTTTTCTAAACTAGACCTAAACAAATCTTAAAACCTTAAACCGTAAACCATAAACCATAAACCGTGAATCGTGAGCTCGAGAACAAGAAGATGAAGAAACCCAAAAACGAGACGCATTACACATATACATACTTATATATATATATATGTTATATATATAAACGGCAAATGACAAACAAATATATATATATATATAAGTATATATGTATGCAACCTTATCTTAAGTAGGCAATATATAAAAAAATATATATCCCGAGAAAACGTTTGCATATTGAAGTTGAGCAAACAAATAAAAATACTGAAAATACTAAGAAATACTATAAATAACAGACACATACATATATACACACATAAAAACTAAAACAAAAAAGGAAAAGATAAAAACAAACCATACAGAACAGAAAGCAATAATTTTTACAAGTCGAACGCGAATACATTTAAATGAGAACTAGTGGCAGTGACATAACTTTATATATAATATACTACTATATAAAAATACCATGGTATTAAACCAAAAACAAAATACTGTTTATCAAAGCACGGCCAAGATGAAGAAGAATAAGAGGAACAGCAGAAATCATTGCAAGCAAGGCATCCCAGTCAGACTTCAAATAGAAGTCATCAGATATGTACATATGTACGTATATGTACCTTGCAAGGTAACTAGTGTGTCTGCTCTTACACCCTATGGGTGCATACACATACATATATATTCAGATTATATATGGAGGACATACATAGCAGTATAGAAAATGAATAGAGAACACCAAAATAAAATATATTACGAAAATACAACAATGTATAAATACCACGAGGCATTAAGTACGTCACGCTAACTAACGTGCTTAGCCAAATGCTCGATAAGCCGCAACTGGAAACATGGCACTAAAAAACACCAAAGGAACACCCCCAACATTCCACATTATAGCCTCATGTAACCACAGGGCATACATTCATATAAAATATACGCTTTAAATGCTGGACACCTGGCAACGGGCGGCACTGAGAGCGATTAAGCTTACCGCTAGGTGAACTTGTTTTCTTTTTTTAATGAGTTTAATTAAGGTTTACGGAATTTTTGCTTTACAAAGCTCATTCCGATACAAGTTTTTTCTTTTTTTTTTTTTTTTTTTCAAAGATATTATACATAATACATTATACATTTCAACGTAGCCCCACTAATCATTTCGTTCCTAGTTCTTCATTCTTGTAACTATACATTTTATACACCTAAACCTTCTAAACTTGAACATTTAAGGATAGCAAACAAAAAGTGAAAAAAGAAATTTTTGAAAATTTGCAGACTATTGAAATAAGTTTATTTCTATAGATTTCTCACACTTCGTTCAAAAGCGAGATAGAAATATTTCTACAGTTTTAGGTCTATAACAAAAAACCGTTAGTACCGTTATTATCTTATGCCAGTTGAACAAGCTTTTTAATATAGAATAAATTTGTAGAAAAAGCATTTTCCGAAGACTCAACATGGCAAGGATAATAAAGAAATTTTCTGGTGATATTTGTTAGAACATCTGGGACGTTCTTAGAAGCATTCGAAGCATTGTCGCAACAAACAACCTGTTAACTGCCCTTGAAAACTTCTGTTCCATATATCCCAGTTCAACCTAACTCTTGATTACTCACTCTTTGCGAAGCATCGCTCTCAAGTCTAACTTCAGTACCAGCTGATATATATCTTATATATTCAATATATGGATTGGAACTCAGAAGTTGACACTCAACACTTTCTGTCTGTCAACATTTTTCGACTCGAACGCTCAATGCACAGGCAAATGAGCGCGAGAGAATAGAGAAATCGGAGAAAAAACAATGAAATTGCTTTTCCAACAAAACAAGAAAGAATAAGAACAAATGTAACTTCCAGTACTTACAACATAAAACAATTAACATAAACTTTTATACATGCTGTATATGGTAAAACTAAACAGTAATCTTCCAAATTAACTTTAAAAACAAAGTGCATACGACATACTACATATACACGACATATATAAGTTAACACAATCGACCAGCAAAACATAAATGTTCAGATTGATCACGCGCCGTCAGCATGAATGTAGCCGTTCCCAGCGGATATTGCACAACAGCAGCAGTGGCTCCAACGCGCAACAATGTTGTTGCCCGAAGTAATGCGATGCCTCGCGTAAATATGCAATGTCAGCATAATCAGGGTTTAGGGCTAGCTTTGGATATAAGAATTTATGTCACTGTACTTTAGTTGATTTTTGATAATAAAGAACGTCGGTCGTCGCCACGGGATTATTGAAGTCTACTCATTTTGTGCAACACCGCACACTAACATCTAACAACTACAGCAAAAAAGCTTAATTGGCGCCCAACCGAAACGAACCCAAAAAACAAAAAAAAAAAAAAAAAAAACGAAATTAAAACTTCGATTAAAACAAGCATTCAGTGAGATAAATACCCCACAAGTGCAAAAAAAAAACAGCAAGACAACTAAAACGCATAACCAAAACGAAAAAAGGAAAAAAAAAAGCAGCATTAGACGAAGCAGTACGCAGCGAAGACACCCACCACGAAGCGGCTCATCAGCGAAGAAACACACAACATACAGTCTACTAACATAATATAAGAACATGTGAGTAGAGTGTTCATTGCAAAAAAAGAAATTAAGGAGTAAAAACAAATAAAAATACAATTTCAACCTTTAAATATTAATTATTAATAACAAAAAACGCAGCACGCAAAATTCCCTGTCTTTACTTGCCCTATGAGTGATAGTGAAATACAAGATTTAATAACAAATTTTCGAAAAATTTACAACACAGAAAATTTAAAAATGGCTTTGAATTCAGATCAATTAAAAGCTATAGTAGAAGGCGCAGTCGCAAGCGCTTTAGCTGCTCAAAAAGATAGCTTTGATAGAAAATTAAACGAAATTGAACAACGTATAAATTCAGTACAGGTTAGCGCACCCGAGGTAGAAACTTTCAAGGAGGCAGAAATCAAAATAGGTGTTATTTGCAACGAAACCCTTGACATCATGAAGTCCCTCCCGGACTTTGAAGGAAAAAGCGAAACTTATGTATCTTGGAGAAAGGCTGCGCATATCGCATACAAGGTATATGAGAAATACGATGGTAGCTCAAAGCATTATCAAGCTTTGGGAATATTAAGAAACAAAATTAAGAACGCTGCTGATATGGTACTCTCTTCTTTCGACACTCCTCTAAATTTTAAGGCCATTATAAATCGGTTAGATTTCACGTACTCCGACAAACGACCGATATACTTAATTGAACAGGAGATGTCAACACTCCGCCAAGGAAATTTGACACTACTGCAGTACTACGACGAGGTAGAAAAGAAACTGACTTTACTTATAAATAAGACAATCATGACCTACGACACCACCGTTGCCTCTTCGCTAAATGAGAAATATAGAGCAGACGCCCTGCGAGTATTCATCTCAGGAACCAGGAAGGCCTTAAGTGATGTCCTATTCTCAGCTAGACCAATTGATCTTCCCTCTGCATTGGCATTGGCTCAAGAAGTTGAGTCAAATCATGAACGTTATATGTTCGCCACAAATTTCGCCCGCAGTATAGAAGAAAAAGCGCAGAAGATCGAACAAAGACAGCAAGTCAGAGACAAGACTCTAGCTCAAGACCCAAAACACAACCAA